ACGCAATTTAAAGATAAAGATAGTCAGGTCTGACCATGGAAGAGTACTACGGTCGGCATACCATATATGGCCAAGTTCCTGGACCTTATGCAAGGTTCTTACAGGAGAATGGCAATAGTAGCCAAGTATTCTATATCGGACGAACCTCAGCAGAATAGAGTAGCTAAAAGACGCAATCGTACAATGAATGGATATAGTGGGCAGTATGATAAGTTACTCCACCTCATAGTTGAGCCTGTGGATGGAGGCGTTAAAAACCGCCATTCATATTCTCAAAAGAGTACTAAGTAAGTCGGTGCCCAAAACACCGTATGAGTTGTGGACAGAAAAAATACCCTCACTAAACACTTACGTGTGTGGGGGAGCCCTGCTGAGGCTAAAGAATTTAACCCAAATATTGGAAAGCTAGATCCCAAAACATAGAGTTGCCATTTCATTGGCTACCCAGAAAAATTAAAATGTTTTCGTTTCTACTGTCCAGAGAGACATACAAAGTTTGTGGAAACGAGACACGCTGTCTTCCTAAAGGATGAACTGATGAGGGGGAGCATGGTAGCTCGAGAAATTGACCTTAAAGAGAAGCGGGTGTATGCGCCCACTCCAATGATTCATGGGCCAATTTTCTCACTACCTGCTGTCGCTGCACCGACAGTGCGAGATACTGTGGTGTCAGCACCTGTTGTTATTTCGCCTGTGGCAACAATGAATGACCATAAAAAACCTATTCTTCAGGATCCTGTAGAACCTATTGCCACACATGAGGGGGAGCAACAACAGCCTCAAACAGAAGATGTGTCAAATATAGAGGTCCCTAGATGGTCTCAAAGAGTTAGAAAATCAGCTATTCCTGCTGACAATGAAGTATACAACACTGAGAAATTTCAAATGGAGGATGATCCCACCTCATTTGAATAAGCCATGAAAAGTGATCATTCATCAAAGTGGCTTGAGGCCATGGAAGATGAAATAAAATCTATGAATGCCAATAAAGTTTGGGATTTGGAGATAATTCCTAAAGGAGCCAAAACAGTAGGCTGTAAATGGGTATACAAAACAAAACTTGACTCTCAAGGGAATATAGAGAGATATAAAGCGCGACTTGTGACAAAAGGCTTTATGCAAAGAGAAGGAATTGATTACAATGAGACCTTTCTCCAGTCTCATGTAAAGTTTCCTTCAGAATCATAATGGCATTAGTGGCACATTACGATTTTAAATTACATCAGATGGATGTAAAGACGGCATTCCTCAACGGGGACTTAGAGGAAAATGTTTACATGGCACAACCGAAAAGTTTGTCATGGAAGGAAAAGAACGAATGGGATGCCGCCTAAAGAAATCCATTTATGGATTAAAACAAGCTTCAAGACAGTGGTACTTGAAGTTTGATCAGATAATAAAGAATTTTGGGTTTAAAGAGAATGTAGAGGACAATTGTGTCTATACAAAGTTTAAGAATGGGAAGTTTATCTTCCTTGTCCTGTATGTGGATGATATCTTACTTGCTAGTAGTGATGTCAGTCTACTACTGAAAACAAAGAAGTTTTGTCCTCAAAATTTGATATGAAAGATCTTGGTGAACCTTCGTTCGTTCTAGGGATCGAGATTCACCGAGACAAAAGTAAAGGAGCATTAGGACTGTCACCAAAGGCATACATAGAAAGAATAGTAAAGAAATTTAGTATGCACAAATATAGTCCCTCACCTGCTCCTATAGTCAAGAGCGACAGATATGGGGATTTTTAATGTCCCAGGAACCAATATGAGTTCAATCAAATGAAAGTGGTTCCATATGCTTCAGCTGTCGGAAGCTTGCAACATGCTCAAGTATGTACGCGCCCTGACTTGGTATTTGTTACCGGGTTACTTGGCAGATTCCAGAGCAATCCTAGAACAGAACACTGAAAATTGGTAAATAAAGTCTTGCATTATTTGCAAGGAACGAAATGCCTCATGATGACGTATAGAAGATCTGATTCACTCCACATAGTGGGATATTCAGATTCTGATTATGCGAGAGATGATAGAAAATCCACGTCTGGATATGTATTCACTCTCGCAAAGGGGAGCTATTTCATGGAAAAGCTCAAAGCAAACCGTCACTATATCGTCCACAATGTATGACAGTTTGTAGCGTGTTATGAGGCAACGGGCAGGTGAACTGACTAAAGAAGTTCATACCCAGTTTGAAGGTGGTTGACGACATCTATAGACCACTTAAGTTATACTGCGATAATAATTGGGCAGTACAGTATGCTCACAACATAAGTCAAGTGGTGCTGCCAAACACATTGACATAGAGTATTATGTTGTGAAAGATAAAGTCCGGGATCAAGTCATAAGTCTTGAGCATATAAGTACAGAAAAGATGTTCGCGGATCCGCTTACAAAAGGCTTACCACCCAACGTGTTCAGAGAACATGTAGCTAGCATGAGTTTAAGGGAAAGCCTAAAATTCCTGGACAAAAAAAAAACCTAAAGATAAGTATCTATTTCAGAATAGAGTAGTGTGTTGTAGCTGTTAAATCTATCGGCAATGGACCGTGACGATGAGACATGCTCTATGCGCTAATCTGTAATGGAGTGAACAAAAGTAAATGATATAAAATTGAAAGATGATAGTAAGATTAAGGGAGAGAATGTTAGTTGATCTTCACCAATAGACCCACGGCGGCCTATTGGGCCCTTGTCTTTGCTCCCTGATCGGGGGAGCCCAACCCTAATACGGTTGGTGGGCCCCTGTCGCACAGCACATATAAAAGGTAAGGTGGAGATCAGGGCCCGGGTTACGAGGTTCAACGGAGCCGCCATACCCACCTACAGAGAAAACCTAAACCGATCTAAAGCAGTGTTGCCAACGACGGGAAGCTCCACCACACCGCCGCCGCCTCTGCAGGGTCACCGCAGCGCCACTGGACTTCATCTCCACAACGCTGGACGCCTACTACACCGCGGCACCGGCGTCTACTCTGCTGCTACGCCGCAACAGAGAAAGGGCGAGGAGACTTACCCGGATCTACAGTTACACAGAGGTAATCTACGATCCTAACATAGACTTCATCACCTTCTACACGACTCAGGCTGGACAGGAAGTAGAGTAGCAAAGCTGGACAGTTATTACCATGTTTCCGTGTACATGTAACATGTCCAAGAAGTACATGCCTCAGGCTAAGAGAAGGAAACCCAGACGAACCACTTAGGTGGCATCGCAGATCGAATCTTCAGTGGTTCTCGTTCTGTATCTGACAAAAAGAAAAATGACAAACAGTGATGCTGTGATCGTCTGGTCTGAACGAACATACCTATAAGAAACTAAAAAAACAGAAAAGAAAACTTGGGCAAGCCAAGGCAGGAAGAACCTTACCTTTACAAGAATATCAATTGTGTGAGATATCCTACTAACTTGGCATTTAAAGTCAGATGAGAGAACCAGGAACCAACATGATAAAATCTCCCCTGTACAGTAACTATACGATGGAATCAAATAAGGTATTGCTCTTTTTGGAGAAAAAAAAATGTATATATATATATATATAGCACTAGTTTTATATAATAAGAGAAAGGCTCATCATGATCATGATTTTTCATATTTTGGTATCTGAAATATCACATCTTGATTGAGCAACCAAATTCTGGTTTCGTTTGATTATTCACGGAAATAATTGGCAGTATGGTGCGACCATATTTTAGCAGTATACATCAGTAAAGTAGGAGAGGGGAATATATATATCCCTCTAAAGATGTAACAGCTGCTGTATCTACACTAAACCACATGTCTTCCGTGAGGCATCTAACAAACGAGAGAAAGGAGATGCTCTTTTACCTTGACGACGAAGGTTTCTCCTATTTTAAGCACAGCAATCCCTTGTCCATCTAGGCATCTATATATGTTTTCTTATAATAATGTATATGTATATATAGATTGAGGGATGGGAATCTTAGGCAAAGGAAGAAAAGCTGTAGATAATGGGGCTAAAGGTTATAAGACACATTGCGCGTGAAATGTTTGATAGGGGTGTTGGGTCCAGGCCACTACAACTAGGCAGGGGCACCGGAGAATGACCTGCAATATGTATTGCCTGCATAATTGCATTCCACATGACAAGGAAAGCCACGGATAGAGAAGCTGAATACGAAAGACAGACGCGTACAGCAGCACTAGTAGCAGCCACATGTTTGGCGTATTGGTATTGTATAGTTTGTACTTTGTAGAGACTTGAACCACCCGGCCATATGCTGCAAAAAGAAGCAGGGAATGTGAACGACACGCACGGTACGCCTGTGATGTGGAGGAAATATAAGACAGAGAGGCTGAAAAACTCAAACCTGGTACGTAACAGAATGCACGCGCGTAATATTTCTTCACCTGGGGAATGAAAGAACAGTAATCCAGGCAGAATGACGGTCGCACGCTTGGTTTTGGTACACATCACTCCACAGGGATGTTTTTGTCAGAAAACGGCCATGGCCAACACCACAAGACAGACCTCTGGCATTGTGCGTGATCGAAGCCCAACCCAGGTGCTTAACAGAAGACACCACAATCAGTGATGAGCAGCAGGCAGCATCGTCTTCTTTTCAGCTACGAGTACAAGACAACGGCAGAGGATGTGATGCTGGAGAAATGATGTCCATCTACCCAAAAGGCTAATTGCTAATGTTGCAAGCAACCGTGTACGCTGAATGAAACCATCATGTCAGACATTCATGCAGCTTCCAGCTTGCCAACACATCCAGACATGACATGTGATTGCAGACTCAGCATATTCATCCATTTTTACCCATTGAGAAATGCAAATGATGTATTATTTCAGCAAGACGGTCAAAAGTAGACACGTTGACACGAGCACACATGACCACAGTTACCCATGGCACTGGGTTTGGCTGCGACTCCGACAGTTACAACCACGACGTCCAACATGAGGATGACAAGGTCACTGGGGATACAGAGATAACAGACTTGGGCAGAGGACAGTTCAACACAATGCACTCACTTCACTTCACTTCAGGAGGGTCTTCACGATGGATTTCACGTTCAGCTTCTTCAGGTCCGTGTAGGACTGACCACAGCCGACGAACATGACTGGAGCTCCGGATATGTAGACCATGGAAAGCGCTGCTCCAACCTGCACTTTTTTTTTTTAGCTTGTATCAGAATACCACACAAGGAAATACCACTTGATATAACACGAACTAGTGTACAAGCTCTGACCTTGTCGTCAATGGTGTCAAACTTAGTGAGCAGGATACCATCAATCAATCTAGCAGTAGGAACAGCAGATAGGTCTGCTAATTTCTGTTTGACAAATCAAGTTCAAAAAACACTTAGTACCAGAAACCAGATTCCATACAGGACTAAGAATGAACAAGCATCGTTCTAATGATAATATTCATCTGTCCTTGAAATGCAAGTTATTATACCTGGTTAAATTTAGTGAGCTGATCCACAGCATCATTTCCAACCAATGCTTCTCCAACAAATAAAACCAGGTCTGGGCTATTGAGATTGATTAGCTTGGAGAGTGCCCTCATGAGTGGCTCATTGTCCTGACAGATTCAGTTAGACAGAGACTTTCAGGTAAACTTCAAAGTAAAGATTATATCCTCCAGTACAAGGACAGAAAGATACTAGATACTTCGAACTAAACCACTTAGCCAACCTGCATACGCCCAGCAGTGTCAACCAAAACAACATCTGATTTGTTCCGGGTTGCTTCCTGAATAGCCTCCCTCGCTACAACTGCTGGATCTTTCTCATAACCCTTCTCAAATATAGGTATCTGCACACAATACCATCCCATCAATTTCAATGTACAAATAATAACCCTGGGGACAAAAGACATATATAGTATAATGTATAACCAAAGAACACAGTTCAATGCTACATCAGAGGAATTAGTCCTGAATGTGTGTTTCTGATGGCCAATCTGAAAGAGCGTATGGACAAAGTTTTACCAAGAGCACTAGAGCAGTTACATAGGAATATGTGTGGTTAGCCAAAAAAAAATGCTGTACAAAAAATTGGATATGCATAAACAAGAAGCATGACAAAACAAAAGAAAGGCTACAGAAGCACACAGCTGCAAACTACTGTATGACTAGAATCTGATTAGGCTACGAACACATAAAATAGTTGGATTTTTTAGTGATGAACTGGTCCCTGCCTGCAAAGCAAAGTTTGTTCATAGATTCGCCTTGGTTACGCATAGAGCGAAATCCGAGTACTTCCCTAGAATCACAGAATGGCTAGTTGCTCTGTAATTTATCTCCTTTCTTTCTTTGTACATAAGTTCTTGTTCTCTTTGCTATATATATAATCAATAGGGGGGTGCCCCTCCTGTTTCGTTTCAAAAAAATGGCAAGGCAATTACTGCTCGAAAGATGTCATTTGCTATATATAATCAATAATATAGGGGGTATGCCCCTCCTGCTTCATTTTTTTAATGCCAAGGCAGTTATGACTCGAAAGATGTTACATGTCATTAGGTCAAAAAATGGCATGGTTTTGTACAGTATGGCCAAATTTCAGGGTTAAGCCAAAAAAAATCTGTATTGAAAAACTGGAGCACAAACCCAGCATATACACTTCCTAACACTATGGGGGCTAAGCAGTAAGATAAAATGACCTAGGAGATTTTTTTCTTGGCTTCATGATAAAAACAAGTGCTACTTCAGAAAGGTATATAAAATCCAGTGGGGCAAATTTATACAATTTTAAAACTACTCTTTCACACAACAACAACAACAACAAAGCCTTTAAGTCCCAAACAAGTTGGGGTAGGCTAGAGTTGAAACCCAACAGAAACAATTAAGGTTTAGGCACGTGAATAGCTGTCTTCCAAGCATTCCTATCTAAGGCTAAGTCTTTGGGTATATTCCATCCTTTCAAGTCTCCTTTTATTGCCTCTACCCAAGTCAACTTCGGTCTTCCTCTGCCTCTCTTCACGTTACTATCCTGACTTAGGATTCCACTACGCACCGGTGCATCTGAAGGTCTCCGTTGCACATGTCCAAACCATCTCAACCGGTGTTGGACAAGCTTTTCTTCAATTGGCGCTACCCCTAATCTCTCACGTATATCATCGTTCCGAACTCGATCCCTTCTTGTATGCCCGCAAATCCAACGCAACATACGCATTTCGCGACACTTAGTCGTTGAATATGTCGTCTTTTAAGTGAGGCCAACATTACGCACCATACAACATAGCAGGTCTAATCGCCGTCCTATAAAACTTGCCTTTTAGCTTCTCGTGGTACCCTTTTGTCACATAGGACACAGACGCTTGCCGCCACTTCATCCACCCTACTTTGATTCGTGGCTAACATCTTCATCAATATCTCCGTCCCTCTCGTAGCATTGATCCTAAATATCGAAAGGTATCCATCCTAGGCACTACTTGACCTTCCAAACTAACATCTTCCTCCTCCCGAGTAGTAGTGCCAAGTCACATCTCATATACTCGGTTTTAAGTTCTCTAAGTCTAAAACCTTTGGACTCCAAAGTCTCCGCCATAACTCCGATTTCGATTCACTCCTCGTCGGCTTTCATCAACTAGCACTACATCGTCATGAAAAGCATACACCAAGGATGTCCCCTTGTATGTCCCTTGTGACCTCATCCATCACTAACGCAAACAAATAAGGGCTCAAAGTGACCCTTGATGTAGTCCTATCCTAATCGGGAAGTCATCCGTGTCTCCATCACTTGTTCGAACTCTAGTCACAACATTGTTGTACATGTCCTTAATGAGCCCGACGCGATTTCGTTGGGACTTTATGTTTGTCCAAAGCCCACCACATAACATTCCTTGGTATTTTATCATAAGCCTTCTCCAAGTCAATAAAAACCATGTGTAGGTCCTTCTTCTTCTCCCTATACCGCTCCATAACTTGTCTTATTAAGAAAATGGCTTCCATGGTTGACCTTAGGGCATGAAACCAAATTGGTTCATAGAGATCCGCGTTATTGCTCTCTCAAGCGATGCTCGATAACTCTCTCCCATAGCTTCATAGTATGGCTCATCAACTTAATTCCCTTGTAATTTGTACAACTTTGAATATCCCTTTATTCTTGTAGATCGGTACCAATATACTTCTCCTCCACTCATCGGGCATCTTGTTTGATCAAAAAATATGGTTGAACAACTTGGTCAACCATACTACTGACTATATGTCCCCGAGGCATCTCCACACCTCGATTGGGATACCATCCGGTCCCATCGCCTTACCTCCTTTCATCCTTTTCAACGCCTCTCGACCTCAGATTCTTGGATTCTCCGCACAAAGCGCCTATTGGTGTCATCAAAAGAGTCATCCAACCGAAAAGTTGTGTCCATATTCTCACCATTGAACAATTTGTCAAAATACTCTTGCCATCGATGTCGGATCTCATCCTCCTTTACCAAGAGATGCTCCCTTTCATCCTTAATGCACTTAACTTGGTTGAAGTCCCGTGTCTTTCTCTCACGAACCCTAGCCATCCTATAAATGTCCTTCTTCTCTCCTTCCTTCAGACTCAAATGTTGGTAAAGATCCTCAGACGCTATACCCTTTGCCACACTTACATACTCGCTTGCGATCTTCTTTGCCACCTTGTACTTCTCTATGTTGTCCACACTCTGTCATGGTACAAGCGTCTATAGCATTCTTTCTTCTCCTTAATAGCCCTTTGGACTTCCTCGTTCCACCACCAAGTGTCTTTAGCCTCGCGTCCCCTTCCTTTGGTTACTCCACACACCTCCGAGGCTACCTTCCAAGAATGTTGGTTGCCATCTTGTCCCACATATTGTTTATGTCGTCTTCTTCCTTCCAAGAGCCCTCTTTGATAACCCTTTCCCTAAATACCTCGACCGTCTCCCCTTTGGGTTTCCACCACTTTGTTCTTTCAATCTTAGCTTGTTTATCCCTACGGACGCACGCACCAAAAACGAAAATCGCCACCAAAAGCTTATGTTGAGAAACAACACACTCCCCGGTATCACCTTGCAATCCAAGCATGCTCGTTTGTCCTTTCTTCTTGCGAGGACAAAGTCAATCTGCTTCTGATGTTGTCCGCCATGAAGGTCACTAGATGAGATTCTCTCTTTCTAAAGAAAGTGTTGGCTATCATCAGGTCAAAAGCTACCATGAAGTCCGAACTTCCTCCCTCCCGATTCCTACTACCATACCCAAAACCTCCATGAGGCGCCTCTTAAAACTCAAGCTTGTAGTACCTACATGCCCATTAAGATCTCCTCCTATAAAAAGCTTCTCACTACTAGGTATAGCTCTAACTGTGCCATCTAAGTCTTCCCAGGCTGTCTCTTAGCACTCTCGCCGAGGCCTACTTGGGGGCATACGCACTAATTACGTTCAAGACCATATCACCAACGACAAGCTTGACTAAGATAATCCTATCTCCTTGCCTTCTCACTCCCACCACACCATTCTTGAGGCTCTTATCAATCAAAACTCCTACTCCATTTCTATTCATGATCGTCCTCTGTGTACCAAAGCTTGAAACTCAGATTGTCCACCTCCTTCGCCTTCCCGACCCTTCCATTTAGTCTCTTGAACGCATAATATATTTACACGCCTTCTAGTCGCGGTATCAATTAATTCTCTTAACTTACCTGTAAGTAACCCTACATTCCAACTACCTAAACGGATCCTAGTTGGTTCGACTAGCTTCCTTACCCTTCGCACCCGTCGACTCTGATGCGAAGACCCTTGCTCATTTTTCACTACACCCGGGCGCCGATGTAGCGCGCCACTAAAACTACTCTTTCACAAAAACAAAGAATAAACTGTCAAACAGAATTTGATTTAATAACTGGGCGTACCCAGTGCAGAGAGCTCCCGCTCTGTGCGGGGTCTAGGGAAGGGCGTTAGTGGCAAGCCTTACCCTCGCCTGTGCAATGCGAGGAGACCGCGACTCGAACCCGGGACCTTCCGATCACAGGCGGTAAGACTCTACCGCTTGCACCAGGCCCGCCCTTCAATTTGATTTAATAACTGATGACAAAAAAAACAGGGCAGTGCGATCATTGGATTATTGGATAGCACTTTGATAGTTAGATCGCTACCTGAAGCCTCCTTGCATGAGTTCTCAGCTGCTCAACAGCACCAGATCTGAAGGTGTCACATGCTGCAAGCGTTACACTGAGCTTATGCTGAAGAAGCCAATAAGCAACCTGTGAAATTCCAGATGCAGACAATGAATGAATATCCCAATGGAAGTTTCTCGTTTTCTTTTTATGGTAGTGGTGTGGTGTCTGGAAATGCATACCTTTGCAAGATTGGTGGATTTGCCAACTCCATTCACCCCAACGAAAACAATGACATATGGCCTCCCACGCTCCTTGGCAGCGTGCACATCCCTGAGTATGTCAATAGAGCGTCTTGGGGTCAAAATCCGAAGAAGAGCATCCTCCATAGCTGTCTGCAGGAGTAACCATCAAATGAGGCATATTACCAACCTAGAAGATGTGTATATGATATAAGAAGATGAAGATATTTTGATAAGAAGATGTGCTAAAAACCTGGACTGTAGATGATATTCTAGTGAAAGATCCTAGCTTCTTGCCGTCAAGGCTAGCTGCAACAGATTCACAAAGCTTCTCTGCAATTTCCTCTGCCTACGTAAGTAAGGCCAGCCTTATTTATCCAGAAAGGAAAAGGCTATCTATTAAGTATATCAAATAAAGAACTACAGAATATACACATACCACGTTCTTCGCCATCAGCCTATCTTTGAGAGCTTTGAGCGCAGGCTGCAGATCAGACTTCTCCAATACATTGTTACCAGCAATACTGAGCACAGAAAAGCACAATGTATTATATTACAGGATATGCACATAGATTTGGAGATCATAGAAGTTAAAGGCATAATGCAATATTTACAAGAAAAACAAAAGCCAGCACATTGGCGAAGGCAAAAAAAATGAGGTAAGGCTGATAGGTTGCAGGTGGAAAAAACTAGCAGCCACCACAAAATCTATGGTCAACATCATGATTGGGTCTAGGATATATTTCCTTAATCGTACTTACAAACAACTACATATGATAGAACATAATGCTAGGAAAAGTGACCATGCTTATGTATTCAGATATTCACATATCAAATGCTTTAGCAAGATTTTCCTAATGAGAGCACATGTAGTCATCTATAGGTTAAAGATTTGGGCCTTGCAGAAATGGTTCAAAAATACTCACATCTTTTCCATCCACCAAAAGAGTTCTGGAAACATACATGCTCAATCAACCCAGTAGTAATGGACATTCAAACAGAGATAATTCCAAATCATCACAACAGAGTAAACAGCAGGGGATTCCCAAGGCTTCAATCAAGCAGAGCAGTACGTTTTTCATCTCTTTTTCTGGGCGAAAGGCAAAGCAGTATATAGGGCTAATAATTCAAGTGTATCATTAATGAAGTGAACAACAGGAAACCATAATTGCCAGGCTAATGAGTATATAGATAGATTATTGAGCTAAGGCTATCAGTAGACAGGGGAGCGCATGAATTACCTCTGAAACATTGATGAGAACCATCCTTTCTTTTTGGGTCCATCTTCCACCTCTTCGTCCTCGCTGTCACTGCTCAGATCCTCATCCTTATCCATCATGCTTTCTCCCTCGATGACTGCCACATTGTCTGTCACCTCGTCCCCTCTCTCATCAGCTGGGTCTGTAAAATCCAGCTTCTTGTTGGAAGGTTTGTCGTCCCACACCCTGTCTTGCTTCCCTTTCTTCTTTGTGTCAGGTTTAGTCAGCTTCTTGGTTCCATTGTCAGCGGCAACATTCTTCTTGTTGGTTCGTAGCTTCTGTAGTTTACTTACATCAAAGGCCCCATTATCCTTGGGGCCTCCATTCTCCTTTCCCTTAACAACAACAGGGCGGGCGAGAGAATTCTCCTTACGGGCGCCATTCTCTTGGCCCTTGAAGGCACCGTTCGCCAGAGTGTTCTGGTCCTTGTTTCCAGAGTCGTCGCCATCAGAGTCATCCTTGGCACCAGAGCCACCCTTGTTGGCAGCAGCACCGCGGGAATCGCCGCGGCGGCCCTTGGGACCAACCTTCTTCTGGGAGAGGGCAGGCTGTGGACGGGACGAGAGGGCCTGCTTGGACTTCTTCATCTCCTCGGCGCGCGCCTCCACCTCGCGATGGAGCTGGCGGAAGATGTCCCCAAAGTCATCGTAGGAGGTGCGCTTGGGGTCGTAAATCTGAGAGAACTCCCTGCGGACGGCGGCGAGGAGGTCGTCGACGTAGAGGAGGTGGAGTATCTTCTGGTAGACGGCGACGAAGACGAGGCCGAGGTCGTTGTGGAAGGTCCACTTGAGGGCGTAGTTGTCCTGGGAGAAGCTGGCGTCGGCGGAGCGCTCCTCGAGGAGGCAGGAGCGGATGAGGGCGTCGATGGGGGAGCCCTTGAGGGCGGCGGCGCCGAGCGCCCGGCAGGACGACCAGAGGATGAGGCCGCCCCGGGTGAAGATGAGCAGCTCCTCCAGCATGGTGGCGAGCCTACCTATACCTGCGGATCCGACCGATGAATCACCATCAATTTCATCATATCATATCGTATATCGTATATAAGGAAAAAAAAAAACAACAAGACAGATCGATCGATCGATCGATGAATTGGGAGCGCAGGAGCTAGGGGCGCGCGTAGCATGTATGGATTTGTCAAATCAGGATACAATCCAATTAGAACGAACAAGTCTCAATTGATAAGGGGAGATCCAGATGGAGTGCCCCTGGATCTAGACAGGAGCGCGATCGAGCAGCAACGCCAAGCCTACTACAGCTACAACGGGGGAACTTGCTAAATTCGGAAGGGTTCTACAGTTGGATTTGACATGGATCAGAAAGGGGAATCGAAGGTAAGAAGCGGAGAAGGAAGGGGGGTTGGTTCGTAGCGTACCTGGGTCGGCGCCTTCTCGCGGAGGAAGAGGATCCTCGATAACCAATCCCTAGATGGAGAGAAACGGAGAGGGAGGGAAGTCGGGCGTTGCTCTTGCTTTGCCTTAGGCGTATAATCTCGGGGGAATTCCTCACGTGCCATTAAAAGAAAATCACAATACTATACCATCTCTAAAAAAAATTTAGCGGTCTTCATCGTTACTGTTCTAATTTTTTTTTTCTATGCCACTGTCGTTAGTTTGAGCTCTAACACCGTACAGGTGTGAAAAGTTGAACATACCCTTATATTTAAATATGTCATTAATTTTTTTAAGTATCTTAACGACTTCAAATGAAAAAACTCAAAACTAGAAAGTTGTAAATCTCATCGAGATCTATAATTTTCATATAAAAATTATCTTCATTTAATTCCAAAAAAAATATGATTTGATATGATTAATATATCTTAGAAAAATCATATCTTTTTTACGGAATTAAATGAAAATAATTTTTATATGAAAAATATAGATCTCGACGAGATATACAACTTTTTAGTTTTGAGTTTTTTTATTTGAAGTCATGAATATGCTAAAAAAATTAATGACATATTTACACTTAAGGGTACTTCCGACTTTTCACACCTACAGTTTAACGGTGTTAGAGCCCAAACTGACGGCAGTGGCATGGAGGGTACAAAAAGTTGAGGCAGTGGCACTGAAGACCGCTGAACCTTTTCAGAGACCCACAAGGCATTGCGATCTTTTTTAATGGCACACAAGAAATTTCTCCTATATTCTTCTTCCGTGGCCGTGGGCTGTGGCTGTGGCGATCACGAGCGTGCCCCCTGCATGTCCAGTGTCCACTTCTCGAAGGCGGAAGCAAACGTGGCTTCGTCAACCATGACCCAAAATACAAAACACATTCATTCGTTACATGGCGCTACAGACAAATGATTCAATACATATTTTTATCTTTTTCAATAACAAGACACAAAAGATAACTTTTGCTGCAAATAGGTCTCCAGAAGAGAGGATACTCATATTTGAATTATGCCTCTCTTGACACTTAAAATGAATCTTTCATATAAGTACTATGTTAGAGACTATAGGTATTATGTTAGAGACCCATTTTAAATTTGGATTTCGCAAGTCTCCTGTTGGAAACAGCCTCAATTCCGCGTGCCGTGCCGAGCCGACCTGCAAGTGTTGACTCAGACCTTTTTGCAAAAAATACTCAAATTTACTGTGGTATACAAAACGAACCACAGTACCAGTACCATTGTTTAGGCTGGAGCAATGACCTACAATACTTTTTTTAAAATCTATCTATATGTCACGAAATGAGCTAGCACGAAAATAAGCCGTGAGGTTAAAGCCTGCTTAGAGTGACTTTGTCGACAGTAAAAACATCAAAGTCGCAGCGAGTCTTACCAAAGATAGCCACTTGAGAAGGGTATTACAAAATGAGAACATCTTTGGTAAGACTCATAGAATAATTTATTCTATGTCCATTTTGAGTTACAAATAACTTATTCTATGACGACAAATAACTTGTTCTATGGTATTTTTTTTAGAAACAACCCAAATACGTAAGTAAAATTATGGCTAAATTTGTTTATACCAGAAAAAGAACACGTGGTTAAATTCATTGCACCTCATTATAATTTTTGGGTTAGCAGAGTCTCTCATCGGTCTAAAAAATAAAAACATAGGCTCTCGTTGCCTCCTTTACATGTTCCTCTTTTTTTAAAGGAGTTTTCTCATCTTTTAAGAAAGCAACGTAACCGATACATCACTAGGGGTACCAGCATTCACGGAAGTGCAAAATAACAGTGCTATTACAACTTTAAATCTCAATAACGTCAGAAGCTGTAACTAAGCTAGGCTTGAAGGTTTCCACCCACTCCATGATGTCGCCTTTGATCAGATCCGCTCCCTATCCGTTTCCTTCAACATGATACACCACTTCTGCATCCATGATAAAGCAACATAGATAATATCAGCAGACGCTTTGGGCATTCTTTTTTCAATAGCCATCTTGTTCCTGGTGGTCCATAAGGCCCAGGTAAACCTGCAAACATAAAAACTATTAAGCGAATAGGCATGGGCCCCATGCCCTATAGCCAAAGTTCTGAGAATTCTTTCAGAGATCTTGGAATTTTGTCTAAGTGAAACACCTCCTTGATGACATTCCAAACAAAATGAGCTAGAATACATTGGAAGAAAATATGGTCAACTGATTCTATATCACCACACAAACAGCACTTAACACCTCCTTTCCACCCCCTTCTTGTCAGACTTAAGGCTACTTGTAATTCGTTGTTGAACATCTGTCATAAGCAAAAAAAAATTAGAGGTAGTTTACTTTTCCAAATGAACCCAGACACTCTACTTGAAGCCCCTCTATTGGTAATAAACCTATAAAATGATTTGGTTGTATACAGTTTGTTTTTTCTAAAGCCCAGATAACCTCATCCTTTAGATTAGAGTTTACCTCAACACTAGATAACTCTCCCAGTAAAGTAGTCCAGTTCTGAAATTCATGAACAGAGAGAGATCTTTTGAACTCTATAAACCATTCCTCCCCTATCCAGCATTCAGCAACATAACAATCAGGGTCTCTAACCATTTGGTAAAGCTCCTCATAAGAGATTTTAAGGGAAACTTCATGCAGCCAACAATCCTGCCAGAACCTGCAATTCGTTCCATCTCCAACCCTAAAAATCGCCCCCCATTTTAACAGATGCTTGACCTTATGCAATCCTTGCCAAAATTGAGAGCACCGTTTGCTCTTAGAAGAGAAAAAACTACAACCATCAAGATATTTGGCTTTGATAAGTATGAACCAAAGTTCACCAGGTTCTTGATGAATCTTCCAGATCCATTTCACTAGAAGGCACTCGTTCATTATCTTAGTATTTATAATGCCTAGACCCCCTTGGTCTTTTGGCCTACACACCATTTCTAATTTGGCCATATGGTATCTAAACTTGTCTTCAGTCCCTTGCCAGAGGAAATTTGCTCTAACCCCATCCATCTTCCTGTGAACCCCTTCTTGCAACCAGTAAAAAAGGGGATATTACTAAGGCAAGAATTGGTCAAAATCATTCTACCACCAGAAGTAAGGTTCTTCCCCTTCCAAGGATCTAACCTCTTCATTATCTTCTGAACTAATGGATCAAAAATCCCCATGTTCAGATGTTTATCACTCCACAGGAATCCCTAGGTACTTGAGTGGTAATTCTCCCAATTTGCAATTCAGCATATTTGCCATTCTCTCCTTCTCCTCTTGTTGTGCTCCAAAGACAAACACTTCACTTTTGTGAAAGTTGATTTTCAACCCTATCAGCCACTCAAAGCAGTATAGGATCAATTTAAGATTCCTAATTGAATTCTCACTGCCATCCAACATAATAACTGTATCATCAGCATATTGGATGTGGGTTATACCCTCAGGAATCAAGTCTTCTAGCACCCCTTTAATATGTTTTTTAGCAACAGCCTTATTTAGCAGAACACTCAAGACGTTAGCTACCAAATTGAATAAGGGGGGGGGGGTAGAGGGTCCCCTTGTCTAAGCCCCCTGGAAGTCCTAAAGAAAGGACTCCTCTCCCCATTAACGTTGATGGAAACCTTGCCACCAGTCGGGTTCATAAACCCGGGGTCCCTAATGGGCCCGCTTCCCAGCAAAAGCTCGGCCCAACAGACGACATTACAAACGACGCGCAACTCTTGGGCCGGCCCAGATACCTAACGACAAGCCAGAAGAGCGATCCAGTCTCCGACCGGAAGTCCTAGCCAAGGAGGGGACGACGCTCGCTTTCCGACTCCGACCCGCTTCTCCAACCGGAAGGCCTATCGTGGAGGGGATGACGCTCGCTTCCGACTCCGACCCGCTTCTCCGACCAGAAGGCCTGTCGTGGAGGGGACGACGTTCACTTCCGACTCCGACCCGCTTCTCCGACTGGGAATACACCGAACCTCTGCTTACAACTCTTCTCCGACCGGCGCGATCAGAGCCGTCTGGGAACGACCGATCGGGGACGCCCGCTCGGTGAGGACCCAAAAATCAGGCGGATCAGATAAGGCAAGGCACTCAAGTCAAACGCAATATCGAGGACCGTACCCTGCACACCTGCAGAACAGTACCGTCAGGCCATGCCAGAAGGGTACTTTGCAACCTTTCAGACATGTCAGAATACGAACAGTGTTGTGGGCGTCGACATTTGTCCTACAGTATGATAGGCGCCGACATTTGCCATACCGAAAGAAAACGATGGAGCCTGCCACATGTATCTGGGCGTCAACAGTATTGTGGCCGCCGACAAACCGTCTTGTACCCGACGACGTGAGCAACAAGACTAGATAGCACGCACACTCTTTTTCTCTCTCTCTCTAAACTTATAAGGCCATCCCCTTCACCTATAAAAGGGGATGCGCTCTCTCCTAACAGAGGATGATCATTCCGACTCTCTCTGCTAGCTTTAGATATTCTGAGCACTCGAACAACTTCACGGCTCTAGAACTCTAAAGCTACACAGAGCATACGTTCCAATACTTAGCGCACGTAGGAGCTCCCGTCACTCTCGGCCCTTCAGTACAGAGTCCGACCG